ATATCCCTCATGAACATTGATGCTAAAATACTCAATAAAATATTGGCTAATCGAATCCAAGAACATATCAGAAAAATCATCCACCACGATCAAGTAGGCTTCATCCCAGGGATGCAAGGATGGTTCAACATACGAAAAACCATCAATGTAATCCACCTTATAAACAAACTGAAAAAGAAAAACCACATGATCACCTCACTAGATGCTGAAAAAGCCTTTGACAAAATCCAACATCCCTTCATGATAAAGATCTTGGAGAGAACAGGAATAACAGGAACATATCTAAACATGATAAACGCGATATACATCAAACCAATAGCCAACATCAAACTAAATGGAGAGAAACTCGAAGCATTTTCTCTAAAATCAGGAACAAGACAAGGCTGTCCACTCTCTCCATATCTCTTCAATATTGTACTTGAAGTTCTAGCTAGAGCAATAAGACAAGAACAGGGGATCAAAGGGATACACATTGGAAAGGACGAAGTCAAACTTTCACTATTTGCAGACAACATGATAGTCTACATAAGTGACCCGAAGAATTTATTGTTTTAATTCACTAAATGTGGTTTACTAAGAATGATGTTTTCTGTCTCAGCTTAAAAGGGCTTTAGAAGAGCTTCAGGAAGCCGTAGCAGAGAAGGAAGAGCTGAAGCAAAGGTGCCAGGAACTGGATATGCAGGTATGGACAGAGAAACATGAAATGTCTTAAGTGAAGGGTTAGGGCACTATATGTTTTATAACATGATAAAAACTCATGTCAATTAATAAAATCAGAGTGGTGGATGACTCTGAGCAAACACTTGAAAAACCATGTAGCAGTGTGCCTCCTAATCTCAGGGAAGGTCCACTCTGTGTTCTCTCATTTGTTCCTTGTTCTTGGTGTTTCTTCTTAAAACAAAATTAAAATAACCAGAAAATTCCTCGTTAGTATCATTGCTCCAGGGAATGTATAAACCTATTGAAAATATATACTGTAAACTTTTCCAATAATTCTAGCAAGTTTATAATGCGTTATCCTTCAAAAAATGTTCTTAATAAAATCATAAGTCAACTTTTGCTTTACTGAACAGTCATCTGTAGTTGTAAGTTTTTCAAGGTATTAAATAGAGAGTAAATAATACCAAGGGAACAAAATGAACCAGAGAGCAATAGAATTGGGAGCTGTCACGATAATCTGCACTTGCATGACTCTTTTACATGTGTGCATGGTGTGTGTGTGTGTGTGTGTGTGTGTGTGTGTGTGTGTGTGTGTGTGTGTGTTTGTTTTTGTGTGTTCGTGTGGGTGTGTGGTGTAAAGGACAACTTCCAGGACTTGGTTCTCTCCTTTCACCATGAGATTAACCCGCAGACTTGAAAGACAATCCCTTTACCCGCCTGAGCTATCTAATCAGTACCCACTTACATTTATTTCATCCATTTTACAAGATAAGCAGTTTCCTTGTGCAAATGAAAACAATTTATCTGGCTTAAAAAAAAACCTAATTCTTTAACCAAATATGCTTGTTTCCAGAATATGTGACTGGTATTTTCTACTATGAATCTAAAATGGTAACTTAGGCTAAGAAAATGACTACATCCTGAAAATTAGCTTAGACCTCAAACTATTTGTACTTTGAGTTTAGATTTAGAAACATTGATTTGATTTCTCTTGTTTGATCTAAAATTCCTATACTCAGAATACTAGTGTTGAAGAATCCTTAAAAATCATCTATTAGTCAACCCATTTCATCCCTCAGTCAGAATTAGAATACAGAACTCCCAGCTTATTAGAGGTGGCTTTGCTATTGATGTTTGTTTCTCAGGTGACAGCACTTCAAGATGAGAAGAATTCATTGGTCTCTGAGAATGAGATGATGAATGAAAAGCTTGATCAGTTGGATGGCTCTTTTGATGATCCAAATACAATGGTTGCGAAAAAGTATTTTCACGCACAGTTACAACTAGAACAATTACAAGAAGAAAACTACAGGTACTATTTTAGTAGAAATTATTGAGTTTTGTTAAACCTATATTTGAAGAGCCATAATTATCAATAGCTAATAGTTGATAATTATATGTATACTTAGGACATTGATTAAAGTACACTAACAAAAATACCAAATGGTGTAAGCAGTGCTTTCCTCACAGGGTTCAGTTAGGTTAACCAAGTAGGATATGCTTAATAAAACAAGGACTTCAAAGATAGAAGCCAGACATTGGCTGGAGACATGAGAGTTGGGGGAGGGATCGCAGAGGCTTGTAGAGAGGGCCTCCATTGACGTAAGTTAACAGTAATGAAAGGATGCAGATCTTAAGCTTAAAAGATGCTTTACACTTTAACATTTTGCTCTTTAAAATAAACAGAAAGTTCTTACCTTTAGCAAAGGTTGGTTGTTTCTGACCGGCTGACCACTGAGCCTGTGCGAAGACCTTGAGAACAAGTGTTTTAATTGTACCTGACATATATTTTCATGTCATTTCAAACTTGCAAAATAAAGTTGTCAGGATATAAGGAACTGCTTCCTGTATGCCTCTTACAGATGTTTCATGGTTGTTATTATTATTATTATTATTATTATTATTATTATTATTATTATGAAGCTTTCTCTGTTTAGCACAGTTAGTATTCAGATATTTTTAGAGGTGCAGATTCTTTAGCCTCTGCTAAGCTTTAGCATGTGCTTCCTAAAAATCAGCAAACCATAGCATAATGGTAATAATTAGGAGATTGTTCATTGACATGGTGTTTCTATTTAAACTACAGAGCACTTGCAAATACAGTTGTCTCAATTTCTTTATAACTTTTCCTTGTTCAAAATGGAATACAGGATTTCATTAACTGATTGTTGCTCAGTGAATACGAAGTGTCACTCTCATTCTTTATTTCAATGCTCTGCTCTCTTAGATCGAATCCTTTAATCCTCTTTCTTAGGAATACGTTCTTTCTGACACAGCAATATACCTTAGACTGATGGACCTTAATTTGTTATAATCTGTTCAGAATTAATGTTTTACCTCCTTACAGATCATTTGTTTCTAAAATAATTACTGTATGCATTTTCTTTATCTTTGCCAATTAAAATTTCAGTTAGAACAAGATATACATAAGCGGTAAAGTGAACTCAGAGCATTAAGTACCTTTCTTTTGTGTTACAATATTAATGGCTAAGAGTTACTTTAACTTTTTCCACTTTTGAAGGTAGAATTTAAGTATGTCATACTAACTTCAAATCTCATTGAGAAGACAAAGGATGGAAATTATATTAAAATTCTTTCTTTTTTTTAAGGCTTGAAGCTGCAAAAGATGATTACCGTGTTCACTGTGAGGAGCTTGAAAAGCAGCTGATTGAGTTTCAGCACAGGAACGATGAGCTGACAAGTCTTGCTGAGGAAACCAGAGCCCTGAAAGATGAGATAGATGTTCTTAGGTAGGGCTTGTCCGGGTGCTTGTGCCTCTTCGAAGCTGTTCTTTAGATAGTGATTTCCAGTCTTATCAGAGCTCCTAATATCCCTGTGTACAGATCACTTTTTATTTAGACTTCTGGTCATCTTCTGTGCTCATTAATTAGAGCTGCATTAAAGATACAATAATGTTCAGTTCTTGTTAGGACAGTTTCACATCAGAACCCATAAACCCCAAATGATAATATTTTCTTAGAATTTTGTAAGTAATACAGGTTAACTGATTCTGTATACATTATCACATTGTGGAAACTAAGCATAGGTAAGAATTCTGGTGTTTCTTTCAGATAGACTTGTCTGTGGATATAAAATGTTTGCTTGCTGCTGCTGTGATGTATTTGGGAGTGTGTATGGTGCTGTGGGACTGAGGACACCTTATGGGAGTTGGCTGTCCTCCCCTATGTGGGTTCTGGTGACTGAACTCAGTTGTCATGCTTGGGGCCCCTTCAGCGACTGGGCCATCTTACTAGGCCTCTATAGTATTTTTAATGAAATTTTAGTTTTTTTCTGTTTTAAATACCAATTTGAAAGAATCATTATAGCTACTAGTTTGGTCCTATGTGTGCTGTTGAAGAGATTTGATTTTTTTTCAGTTCAGTTTTGCTTTAGCCCAGTTTGTCAAATAAATGCTGTTCTAAATAAATGTGCTTTGTCAGACAAATTTGTTAATTGAATCAACTTTGTAAGCATATTAGATACAACTCCAATAAACTATATATGCAGTTTGCCTGGGAACTGCAGATAGCTCAGAATTATTTAGTCATATGTACCAAATCATGCATTTTGATACGTTGTGCTAAAAGTCTGTAAATCTATCAGACTTGAAGTATTTTACTAGTTGATGACTTTAAAACAAAAATAATGAACTTGAAATGGTTTTAAGCCTATGTTTTTGTTATTGTTTACAATATCCATTTTGCAGCTAGAAAAAAAATGTGTGCATACATGTCTTATTAATGCAGGACTACCTCAGACAAAGCAAATAAACTGGAGTCGACAGTGGAGGTTTATCGCCAGAAGCTACAAGATCTAAATGATCTCCGAAAGCAGGTGAAATCTTTACAGGAGACAAATATGATGTATATGCACAACACTGTGAGCTTGGAAGAGGAGCTGAAGAAAGCCAACGCAGTTCGTGCACAGCTAGAGACCTACAAGCGCCAGGTGAGAGATGTCTGAATGTCTCATTGATGAAATTAAAAGTTCAATATTGTGATTTCCTCTTTTTTTCATAGTGATATAGAAGTTAATTATTGAGTATAGTTAGTTGTGTGCTCCTGGTTAATTTCTTCTTCATGTAATTGAGTTTAGGGACAGTTAAAGAATCTGACTTATCAACTCTTCAGTTTTTCTTGTTGAACTTTATTGTTTGTCAGTGTTTTGGAATTGGAAAATTGCCTAGACAATGATAGAGAATATAGCTTCACCTTCAAATACTCTGTAGTGCCATTTATCAAATAACCTAGAAAACTATTAAAGCCTACTTTTAAATATTTTGAATTATTTTAATGTGTTGAGGTTTTTTTTGTAGTTCTTTTTTTTCTTTTGATGTTCTGTTTTTCTAAATATTTAGAATTAAAATGCCTGGTTCCAATTCAGCCTTTTCATTTATTCAACCCTGAAAGTCGGATAGTATTACAAACAATTTTTCTTTACTTTTTTTCCTTCCCAAAGGTTCAGGACCTTCACACTAAGCTTTCCTCTGAGTCTAAAAGGGCAGATATACTAGCATTTGAGATGAAGAGGCTTGAAGAAAAGCACGAAGCTTTACTCAAGGAAAAAGAGGTGATGTTTGATGAGAAATGTGGGGTTTTTATAGCTTTGAATTGCCCTAACCCTAATTCTTAATCCCTGAATCCTAAGCATATTTTCTTCCTAGCGATTTCCTAGTTTAATGCCTTATTTTTAAATCTTTAATCCCTTTTTAGTTTCTCTTTCAGTACACAGTGAGAGAGATGACTTGATTTTTTTTATTTTGGGGAGGGAGAGCAACAGTAATTAAAGGGCTTTCTTTTCTCCAGTGTCTAAGTTTTTGCCCTTTTGATGGGGGATCATTTGTTTGTAAAGGCCTGGATTTATTTATGGTATATGTGTTCTGTTTCATCAGTCAGTCCATCTGTTTTGTTTTGTTTTGTTTTGTTTTTTTTGCCAATACTCTGATTCTGGTTGCTGCTCTCTGCAGTAAAACTTGATAGCAAGTACTATGATGCTTCCATTGTTTGCTTGGGTCAGGATTACTATGGCAATAATTCGTAGAAATTATAGCTTTTTCCAAGTCATTCTTTTATGAAAAAGTTATTATCAGTTCTTTCATGGAGACTGCACTGAATCTTTAATTTGGGGTGGTTTAGACATTTTAGCAATGTTATAGGATACTTATATAGAATACTAAAGAAGAGCTAGAATTGATTTAGTGAAGTTGTAGGACAATTTGCACACAAAATTAGTAGCTGTTTATGCACCAATCATGAGATTACTGCAAAGAAACCATGAAAAACGTCACAGTGACAATAGCTACAAAATAAATAAGATACTTAGTAAAGTTTAACCAGGAAAGTATAAAACCTCTGCAGTGAAAGTTAGAAAATACTGATGATAGAAATTGAAGACAACATGTAACAAACTACAAAGTCTCCCATGTTCACACTCTTTATTCAGTTTTGTTAGCTTTTGTCAGGAGATATAATGGAGTCACAGTCACAGGTCCTTCGTCTTAGTGCATGTTTTCTAATTCTAGATTTTCAGCTATCTAGATTTATTAGCATATATGCACATACCATGTCTTCTACTTCTTTAAAATATACTGTTCCATGGTTGTTGTTTAGCAATCATATTGCTATGACAGGAAAGATCAATTTTCTCTTACCAATTACTGAAGCTTTATTCATAATGGCCTGTTCTGTTGGTGGTCCTGTGGTAGGGAAGAACATTATAGAAGTGGTAACATTTTGGAGGATGAGACTGTTAGCTCATGGTTGATGGTAGGCAGAGAGAGGAATTTAGGAGGTAACCAGGAAAGAGCTAAGCCCCCAAGGACATAGCCCCAGTCGTGTGTCTCCTCCAGCTAAGCTCCAGTTTTGATTCTTCACCATCTAATACCATCATCTTGTGAATCCGTCAAGGATTAATCCATTCATCAGTTCAGAGCCCTCATTCATCTCTGAAGTGTCACCCCCACCAACCTCATAGTTGTGCTTTGCTGATATTCTAGGCATTTTTCAGATCAGTAAAGTTCAAAATTGACCATCACACAAGGCTTTGAGTATGTAAGCCATCCTTACTGCAGTCAAGTTTGAGAATGCTGTTCTTCCAAAAAGAAATTCTTTACATTAGCAGGTAGCATATAGTCTGGTCTCCTTTCTATCAGTCTTAGGCACTTTTTATGTATGTGTTGTCTCTGCATTTCCCTGGCCTGGCTGAAGCATGCAGTGACATGACTGAGTTTTGTGATTACCTTGGTCATACGTATTTTAGCTGAAGCTTCATGTGGTGTGTTATCTCTTGTTGAACATTGCTCATTGTGTTCATACAGCATGCTTCAGTTGTTTAGTCATCAGTGTGTGGGTATTGGGACTCACCCCACTCTGGGCTGTTAGGAATATTGCTGCTTGTTTATTCACACATTTTTATATGTGTGTTTTCATTCCTCTGCAGTATATACTAAGACCAGTGGCATACTGGCATATAATAAGTATATTTAATCTCTTTTCTATATCCTTGCCAACACTTTTCTGTCATTTTGGTTTATTTTAATAAGTATGAATTTTTACTTGCATTTCCATACTGACTGAGTATATGAGCAAGCACATGTACTTTATGACTCTTAAGATCCTTCCCATGTTTCACTTCAATTATTTGCTTTTATTGAGTAAGGACTTTTTATATATTCTGGATGCAAGTCCTTTCTTAGATAACTACTTTTTTTAATGTTTTCTCTGATTCTGTGTTTTTCTTCTCATGATCATAGTAGTCCTGTTTGCAGCAAAAGTTCCCCATTTACTTTGTCTCAGCTGTCTGTTTTCCTTGCTTTTAATTCACTTGTTTTTTTTCACAGATTTAAGAGTCTGACTCTAATATGTAGTCTGTATTCCGTTTTGTACATGTTGTGAGGTAGTGTCCAACTTGAGTCACTTTCAGGCTGCTGTCTGCTGTCCCAGCATCATTTGTCTAAAAGACTGTTCTTTCTTCATTGAAACTGTCTTGTCACTCTTGTTATAAATCAGTGAACCATGATTTTATTATGGTGCATACATGTCATAGGATGTGTAACAGAAAGAGCAAAGCCTCTTACGTTGGAATGCATTCATTAATAATAGGGTACTCACACTGGCACATTGCTCACAGCAGTGCAAGATGTTAGAAATACCGATAGTGGAAGAGATGAGGAAATGCGTAGGAACTTGTGGTTTTCTGATCATTCTTCTAAGACATAATAAGTCATTCTTCTAATAAAAAACTACCCCCCAAAAAGAGCTTACTAACTAAAAAAATTCACATGCGTGACCAGAAATGTAAGAGCGTATATCTTGCTTTTCAGTTATCTTACATTGATCAATAATATATCTAGCTCCTGTGCTAGTATCCTTTTGTCAGTCATGATCATTATAACTTTTCAGTCAAGTTTTAAAATCAGAAAATGTGAATTCTGGGCAGGCTAGGTGACTCAGTAGATAAGAATTCCTGCTGTCAAAACTGACAAGCTGAATTTGATCCCTGATCCCCACGTGGTGGAAGGGGTGCACGCGCGCGCAAACACACACACACACACACACACACACACACACACACTGTCTGCTGGTTGTTATGGGGGTTATAATTGCTGATAATAACAATTCTTTTTTAGCGACTGATAGAACAGCGTGACACTCTGAAAGAGACAAATGAGGAGCTACGGTGCTCACAAGCACAGCAAGATCACCTAAACCAAGCTGGTGAGTTGGGCAAATTTAAGTTTATTTTTCTAATGATTGAAATACTGATGACACATTGATTGATTTCTGTTCCTTAGATGCATCTGCTACAAAAAGTTATGAGAACCTTGCTGCTGAGATCATGCCTGTGGAATACAGGTAAACTTGTACTGACTGATAACCCATACCTAATAGTACAAATGCCAGCTGGTTTTAGTCTTTCTCTTTTAATTTGCTCATCTATTAAAACTTTAATAAAAGTTAATTATGATACAATTGAAAAACAACTTTCTTAATTGTTTTTGCTCCAACAATTTAAAAAAATTATCAGAAGTGAAATTTTATGAACTGGCAGAGTAGTAAACAATCTAGTGTTTATGACAAGGCCTGTATTGTATTGAAATAATCTTTTCTATTTTAATTCTGGAAGCCTCTTAGTATATGACATTCAATTCTATGTGTGTAAAATAAAAGATTTGTCAATAACAGTGGTAAACTTAAACAAAATACAAATATAGGCATTCCCCCTCAGTTTGTTTTTTATCCTGGCATTTTGCCAATCTGGTTGTAAAATATTATTTCTAGGCTTTGGCACTAGTCAAGTTTTATTTATTAAAACTTAGATTATCCTGTTTAGTTTCATTAAGATATAATTCATGTATTTAAAATACAGGTTGCTATTGCTTACTGTCGTTATAGAGTTGCCACTGTCACATTGTGGCACCATTATCTGATTTTAGAACATCTGTTGTTACACCCACACGACTATATGCCCAGTAGCAGTTGTTCCCCATTCCTGCCCCTCCCCCCAGATCTCACTCTTAGATGACCAGCACCAGTTGCCTTTTATTAATATTTCATATACATAGAATCTCACAGCAGGTGGCCTTTCAGAATTCAAACCTTTTTCTCAGAATAATATAGAAAAATAATACTGAAATTTTCTTTGACCCATTTGAACTTTATAGACCTAGGCAGAGGAGCTTTTTGACCCCCCTTTGGTCTTTTGTTCTTGAGGAAAACATAGTCATACAAGTGGTCTAACTTCATTTAACAAAAAATACACACACCATGCAGAGCTATAGATAAGCATAAAATGAGTCTCCCACCTGAAAACATCCTGTCTGTTACCTGCCTCCCCTCCCTCTTTTGGGACTGTACTATTCTAACCCTCCCAGCTTACTTCCCTCCTCATTTCCCTCATTTGCTACTTCATGGCACCTATGTCCTGATACTCCTATCTCTAGAACTAGAGTTAATGTCCTCCATGGACCTTTGTTTTTGTTTTGTTTTTTTTTGTTTTTTGTTTTTTTTAAGATTTTATTTATTACGTATACAACATTCTGCTTTCATGTATATCTGCACACCAGAAGAGGGCACCAGATCTCATAACGGATGGTTGTGAGCCACCATGTGGTTGCTGGGAATTGAACTCAGGACCTCTGGAAGAGCAGTTGGTGCTCTTAACCTCTGAGCCATCTCTCCAGCCCTCCATGGACCTTTGTAACTGTCCAGATTTCTCTGGTTACTCCAGGTTGATACTCAACTCCTGGAGACCCAGAGCTGGAAGCACACATAGGAGAAATAGAGAATTTGTATTTCTGGATTTGGGTTGCTTCCAAATATTTTCTTCTTTCAACTATTTACCTGCTAGTTTTATGACTCCATTTTTCTTTACAACTGAATAATCTCATAAAGTTAAAAATAAATCACTCCTTGGCATATACCCAAAAGACTCAACATCACAGTAGCTAAGAAATGAAAACAACAAAATGTCCTTCAGCTGATGAATAATGAAAATATGGTACATATACACAAAGGTTTCTCTTAAATAAGTAGAGACTAATGATCATCATAAAAATGTATTTAAGATTTCTAGGCATACTGTTTTCTTAAATTTGCTTGTTTTTTTATCATATACATCTAAGAATATACTACTGTTCCCAAGGTTTCTAATATTTAAAAGTGAAGTCATATTATCTAGGAACTTGCACAATTGTTTAATGATATATATCTTGATCATATACTGTTACCTTTAACTTTTGAGATGTGACCTTGCAGGACATACAGTGTGTCTTTAAGACTTTCAGGGGGTTTGATCATATTTCTAAATTAGAGCTATTGAAGAGATAGGAATTTCCTTAAAATAATATGGTGGTTCTAGTAAGATAGCTCAGCCCATTAAGGTACTTGCTGCCAACCCTAGCTACCTGAGTTGTATCCCTAGAACCATGAGGTGAAGGAGTGAAGTGATTTCCCAAGTTGCCCTCTGACCTTAACATGGATACCCTGAAACATGTGTATACAAACATATATACATACTTATACACAATAATAACTGCAACAATTTGAAAAGAATATTATGAACTTTAGTTTTAAAATTGAAAAAAATTGCTTTTCAACATTAGAGAGGTGTTCATTCGACTGCAGCATGAAAACAAAATGCTTCGCCTGCAGCAGGAAGGGACAGAAAATGAACGAATTGAGCAGCTGCAGGAGCAGCTGGAGCAGAAGCACCGCAAGATGAATGAGCTGGAAACTGAGCAAAGGTGACTGTTGCCATTAGAAGTTATGTGACTTGATTACCTAAAAGTGGGGAACAGAATTATTGTCTGAATAAGTAGCATTGCCAAGCAGGTGTCTCATCACTGTAATCCTTACTCTGAAGAACTGCAAGGATAAGATCAATGATATTATCATAAAATATATGAATAATGTGATCGTTTTAATAGACTTGCCTAGTCAGGGTACTTATTCTTGATTTTCACTAGATATCCTTAAAAATGAAAGAAAACAAATGAGTAAATAATGGTTTGGCAGCTACTACAGTTGTGTGTAGAAATAGGTCACAGATTATATAGTCAAGTTTTTAAAATTTTCTTTAATGTTATTTTCAACTCAGTTCAATTTTCAATAATATTATATGAAATAATAACACAGATCGAAACTTAGATTTTTAAATAAAATGTTTTACTGATATCTATATTGGTGAGCTAAAATTTCTCGTAAAAAATCATTTATATTTTAAAAATACTGGTCATTCTACAGTCTTGGACATGGGAATTTGCATTTTAGTCATAGACTCATACCTACATAAGACTAGAAACAATGATTATTTAAACAGGTTTTTTTGGTTTTGGTTTTGGTTTTTTTGGTGTGGTCAATTAGAATTCCACTTCTGCTTAACTCAGTTACTCTTTCTCAGCAAGTTCCTGAGATTTGGACTGTTGAGCTGTAGACACAGGAAGAATCTGGTTAATGTATTTGCACCAAATGCTGTGCTTTTCTGGTCCCACTCAAGTGCCTTAAACTTTGTGTAACCATAAACAAGACTTATATCTGGCTGCTATGAATTTCCTGTCATAATCATACATAATGCCCTATGTTCTCTGCTTCAAACTTGTTTTTTCATCGCTAGAAACTGAAGCCAGGACGTTCTACATGACAAACAAGCAAGCATTCTGTGCTGTGCTGTCTCTCCACCCTCATAAATAATAGTCACATACAAGCACTTTTGAGGACCAGTTCAGTAAATCCTCCCTGAGTTAGTGGCTGTGCTCACCTTTTATGGATAAGGAAATGGAGAGGATCAGAAACTTACTGAAGTTAGACAGCTTATCAGCTCTGAATGCCACTTGAAAGTATCTGCTGACCTGGCTGCAGAGTGTCTTCTAACTTACCTCATCAAGGAAATACTCACTGTAGAGATGGGTGCAGCTGTGTTTGTTTATCTAGCTTTTACCAGATTGTCAAGAGACCACTGGGGTTCCAGACACTTGAATCTTGTTTTCTATGAGTAAAACGGGGTATATTTGACTTTCTGAAGAAACTTGACTATTATTTTCAACTTTTGGTGAACTAATAAAGAATGGTAGACATGTGACAACATTCAGTATGTGCACATATATTTGCTTTAATAAGGGAGGAATTCTTTCTAAGTTACTTGCTCAGAAGTGACATTCTGTTCTACCTATTGTGCTTGTCACAGATAATTGCCTTGCACTTTATCACTTCCATTAAATTGCATGAATGCACGTTAATAGACCCCTAACTGCTGTGGCTTTAAATATGAGTAGATAAATACCAACTCATGTCACAATAGGTTGAGCAAAGAGCGCATCAGAGAATTGCAGCAGCAAATTGAGGATCTCCAGAAGTCGTTACAAGATCAGGGCTCCAAGACTGAAGGCGAAACCGTGAGTAACAAGTTCTTAGCTTGCTGTATACATATTTTCTAATAGTTTCTGCTACCCATTTATTTTCATTTGAAATGGTACCCTTCTCATTGATGGTACCGTGAAATACCGTATATATCTGCATAACAGATGCAGTGATTTTGCCAACTTGAAGTCATATAGATTGCTCATATATATTATAAGGTGATTTCTATCTGTCCTGCTCAGCATCTATACTTAAGTTCTCTAAGTTTTAACTCAAAGAGTAGTATACTTTGAGGCCGAACGCATCTGCTGGGATTTTACCAAGCTTGGCCTGAGGAAAAAACAAAATGAGAGTAATTAGCACTCAGAATTGAAAAAGCTCCCTAATAGGAAATGAGTGCTTTCCACTGACAGATCATTCAAGAAATCATAATGAGTGAGAAGGACATTGACAGTTAAAGACATCACCCCTAATGCTTCCCCACTTCCACACCATCTCACAGTGTTTCAGACAATGTGAGCTGAGATAAGAAGACTTGAAAAGAGACATATCTAACAGTTTTTTCATACTTTACCTGTATATGTGAGGAGGAAGAAAATTGAGAGAGATGTAATTGATTAAAAGAAAAGATAGATCTGGATGTGTTAGCAGATACCAGCTAATAGAAAATACTGGTGGGGGAGGAAGCTGTAAAGTAAGGAGAGGTGGAAAGGCAGATTGAAAGGGCTGCATTTCCCTTCTGTTTTTTCATACTTTATATGATTTTCTCTTTTTTCCCTGGGGGCTTGGAACATAGAAGTCATCTCATGCATGGCGGCATCTCATATGTGCATATATACGGTATTGTACCCTCTCTAATACAGATATTGCTAAGCCATGTTAGGGAGTACTTTTAAAATGGCACCTATTTGGGGGACTACATTTTGGCTTGCAGTGTTTTGAAGATGGGTAATTTCTTCACCATTTGTTTTTAATGGACTGTTGCCAACATATCAGCATTTTACAGGTACCTAGTTGATGCAAACTGCTGCTATGGTTTAAAGTACTTTAAAAGAGGAAACATATTTTAAATTTGTTTTTGACAAAAATCCAGGTGCTTCATTTTAATGTTGATATTAAAGTGTTTTCATTTATAATGATAAATTTTATAAGATAAATATTAAAGTCTGTATTTGTTAATTAGATAATGAAATGTTTGATACTCCTCAATATATCACTTTCAGCTTGGATTTGCTATTTTTCTTCAAGTTCAAGTTTAATTTTAAGTTCTAGGAACTGTACCATTACAAGTACATGTTTTGAAGACTATTTTCACATAATATACCTTTAAAAGAGGTGAAGACATTTAGATGTTTGGGACATTTACCCTTCCCAAGTGAGTCAATCTTAACAGCAACTATTTTTAATTTTATAGTCCAGCAAACTAAAGCAGAAGTTGGAAGCTCATATGTAAGTAAAACTGATGTTTCATTTCAAAGGGGAAGGGTTGTAGAAGCTCTTGGAAAATGTCCTTTTCTGACTTGGTGAAGGAAAGAAAGCACAGGCCCAGACTACACTACTGCTACCAAGAGCAAGAAAGCATGTTCTCCTGCTCATGTGTGGCAGCCAGCCTAACTCCTACAGTTTTAAATAGCTAACATCATCTGACAGATTTCACCAAGGAGACATTTCTTAACCAACCGACTTGATGTTGTGGCTGCTAACCCTGTAGAGCAGAGCCTTTCCTTTCCGTCGTGTAGGAAGTGGAGCTGCTGAGGGAAAGGAAGGCTAAGGCTTTGGAATACACCTTGTGTCAGGTGCATTAACATCTGCATGGCAGGCCCTGTAGTCAGGTAAATAGGTTCCCACTTTACCTGTGGGAAAATAAAGATCAGAGGCATTCTTGCCCAAAGTCCCAACATCAATGTGACAAAGACCAGCTTTCATTCTTAGGTTTGTTTGACACCAAGCTCCATGCTCTCTCCAATACTTAGGGAAAAACTAACAGAAGTCCATGAAGAATTACAGAAGAAACAGGAGCTCATTGAAGACCTTCAGCCAGATATAAGTCAGAACGGTAAGTTTGTGTAAAATCTGGACACACTTCTTAGGATCTGCCCTTCTAGTGACACAGATAAGAAAATAGATCCATCTTTACACAGTGAGTAGTGTGCACATTGCATAAGAACCATGCTAATTTTTAATGCTGGTTTCATTCACATATGATGTAGTTTTAAAGCAAAAAACAATTTTAATAAGATGAACTGATTGATATAAAGGAGTATCAAACATTGTAAATTTTAGTCACGTTAATACTATAGAATCTATACTATAGTAAAATAATTTCAAAATAGATTAAAATGAACTTCAAACAAAAGTAATGTCATTTCTTTCTCTGTGGTTGTGCTTACATGGAACAGTATGTTTCACATCTTTAATATTTGCTAGAAACATAGAAACAGCTAGGTTATATACAGTGACTGAGAATACATTACTTGTACTTCAGAAGTGTTAGATAAGAATAAATTGCAAAGAAGAAATTAAAGGCTTTTCTTAGAAGTTATCTTAGCAGTCATTGTAAAATAAGTTTGATAAGTACAGTTTATGTATGAGGATCAAGTGTTTTGAGTATGTGATAATTGGTTCAATTTTGTTTTCACAAATAGTCCAAAAGATCAGTGAACTTGAAGCTGCTCTTCAGAAGAAAGATGAAGACATGAAAGCAATGGAGGAGAGATATAAAATGTACTTAGAGAAAGCTAGAAATGTGAGTGACCCACCTGCTCAGCTAATTCCTTGTATCAGATGTTCTAGTCAGCGCTAGTTCTGATTACACTACATACAGGTCTGTGTCTGAACCTAGTCACCAAGTCCTCCTCTGCTTTGCCTTGCTTGCCAGGTTTCTGCCATCTTCTATATAAGTCTTGCATACTCAGTCTGATGTAGTGTCAGACAAATACGACTTTGGGGACATCTTTAACACTGGCGGTAGTGACCTTACTAAATAAAGTGACTACTGTAATATAAACCCTTACTTATGTGCTTGGGTTTCAGCACATTGGCTGAGAACATAAATTACCAGAATGTTAGCAAAATGAACGAAATGGTTTACTTTTTTTGGCTTTATTTTACACTTTAGAGACTTAAACTCTATCTTGATGTTCATCAGACTAAATTCTTTCTTTTCTTTATTGTATAGTTTAGCTCAAATATCTGTGAAGTATTGTTTTTATAGTCTTAATTTCATAAATACCACATATAAATATTTCATTGGAGTGTTAATACATTCTTTTCTATTTAAGGAATTTCATGGTGGTACAACTTTAAAATAATAGTATATTTATTTGTCCTAATATTTAGATTCCATGTATTTACCAGTTAAGATGTCAATACAAGCTGTACCCAAAGTTGAAACCCAAATCTCAAGGCTTCACATGATGGGCAGTTTCTTTCTAATTGTAGTGTATCTAGTCATAAGTGGGAATGAGGTGGAAAACACAAGGCTTCTAAGCAGAGGTATGGCATAAGCTGTTACGGGGTCATGACCAGGTCACCACCTGGTCACCTCCCAAAATAAAACGAATAAATTAACTTTAAAACACTAAACAAACAAACCCCATGCTCAAAGTTTTAATAACAGAAAGGCTAAGTAGCTGCCATTGAATATATAGACAAGAGGCATTTGGTGGTGTTGGTCCATTTTTTTGTTATTTAAATGAAGTTATAAATAAGCTCCTGAAAATGTCAATTAGGTGGCCTCCATACTCTAGGGGGCCCCTGGTAGTGGATTAGTATTTTTCCTTGATGTAAGAAGGGACTTTAAGAGCCCATCCCACGTGAAGGGATGCACTCTTGGCCTGTACACATGGGGAAGGGCCTAGGCCTGGCCCAGGATCATGTGGTGGACTTTGGGGAGCCACCATCAAGGGCCCTGCCTGGGGAGTGGAGGGTGGATGGGGTGGGAGACCTGTGGGGGATTGGGGGAGAGGGGAGGGAGAGGGAGAAGGGTTTTACATGTGAAGCAAGCTTGTTCCTAATTTGAACTAATAAAAAATAAAATAAAATAAAAATAAAAAATAAGCTCCTAAAAAAAACTAAAAAAATAAATAAGCTCCTAGTGACTTCGTGGATAATCTGTTATAATTTTTATAAAACATGTGGTTACAATTTTGATGCTTTTAAAGACAAAGTAGACATATTTTTTTTTCTTTACACAGGTAATAAAAACGTTAGATCCCAAATTAAATCCAGCATCAGCCGAAATAATGTTACTCAGAAAGCAGCTGGCAGAGAAGGAGAGAAGAATTGAGATTCTAGAGGTAAAGCCTCCACAGGCACTCACCTCACCTCCTCACTCTTCCCTGCAGTCCTGGGAATTAACTTTATCATATTTGCCATCTATGTTCAGGTTTCATAAAATCTTTACTAATCATGGTGTGACCTGCTAATTGGTTAAGTTCTTAGCTGGTAAATTTGTTTTTGTACTACTATTTACATCGTTTTTATGAAGTCATGTGGGCATAGCATTGTGCAGTTTTGTTAGATTCCGTCATTGCTTTATTAGCTTCTCTGATAAAATGTTGTACAGGACCACTGTTTTCAACACAGAGTCAATGCTGTTTTTGAAATGGATACATAGAGGCCATGATGTTTTCTGGCCTCCCCATGAACTATGATTGGTTTCTTTTCACATAACTAGAACACAGTCTGTTCACACACCATTTCCTTGTATGATTTCTAGCAAAGTCAGTATGAGCTGTTATGAAATTATTTTCACTGGAAACTTTTAACACCTTCTCTTTCCTGCATCCACAATATAAATACCAGGCTGGTGTATGCCTACTCTCATCATCTATCCAGACCATGTCAGGGTTGGAAAATGCACAGGGAAAGTGTGTGTCTGAAAAAAACAAGTGTTAGTTTTTCACATTCTAACTCAAATGCCCAACTCTCTTCCTCTATGTTTTTTATGTTTACACAAAAGGAGCTTGCACCATGTTCCAGAGTTCCAGTTCACTGAAGTCCTCTTGCATTGAATAGCAGAAGCATGTTTTATACTTTTTAAATCTTTTCATATATGTTGAAGTATCTTGAGAATGAAGTAGTCTGTGTCACATTTCTGTAGCCCCAGCATTAAATATTCTGTAAATAAGAGGCTGGGCTTGCAGGTTTATTGGTACCTTATCTTAATTTTCACATCTCTTGTTTGGTTCTTGGCCCGGGTGTGTCCAAAATAATAAGATTTGACTGGATAATCTTTGAAATCTTAGTTTTTCAAGTGTGCTGACCATTCACTTTAGAGGAAGCCAGTGAAGAATACTCACCATTGCTAGTGTTCAAAATGGATTCTCTAAAAGAGTGTAACAAAATAGTTCCTCTCACTAGAGGACTCTGAGGAAAAAGCCTCCATTAACTCACAGCATGTGGGTGCTTAAGTGTTAGTTGTTCATGGCTTGTGCATAAGAAGAAAGAGAAGTAGAATGGCAGAGTGTGTTCTCTGGGTGTTTGGCCCTGTGCACTTTCTGTACTGAGAGCATGTTGCTCAGGGAAGTGCTAAGTGGAAAAAGTTGTGCTGAGGAGCCTAGAACTTTGTTGAGTCCTTTCTCCTTGGTTTCAACTCCTCCATAGGGACAGCACCATCTTGATTTTTCAACCAGTTGCTTTTGTCTCCTCAAGACATGGGAATTAGTAGCACAGGAATCACTCTCTAAGGGTGTGTGTGTGTAAGTTGCTGTTTCTGAGTAACTTTTCTAAAATGAAGATTATGATTACACACATTCTTTGCCTTTCCTAAAGATGTATTGATTGTGTTCTGCATAGTTCACTCCTTTATTTTGACTAATTTTCGTATCTCAAATGCATTTTTCCCATTCTCCCAGCAGTGAAGATAGTAAAGAAATAGCTTTGTTTTCAGTAATTTGGGGGCAATTTCTGATATTTTAATTGTCTTAATCATTATTTTTCAGAGTGAATGTAAAGTAGCAAAATTCCGTGATTATGAGGAAAAACTCATCGTTTCTGCCTGGTATAACAAGGTATTTTGCATTTCAATGATGAGTAGGATTAAGCCCAGTTGATCACTTCCTTGACCAGAATATTAGAAGGAAATATTTTTATATTAGTACAATACAGTTGTGTTATGAGATCCAGTGATAAATACCTTCTCTCATCAGAAAACAAGTAGCCCAAATTAGAGTACTTTGTCCATTAAGCAATATATGCAGCTGCTGCCTTCCAGATCTGTTTGCTAAGCTCTCTTTGTGGTGTGTCTGTCCAGTTAGTACAGCAATGGTTCCAACACACACAAAATCGATTTGGAAGTTTTTCTTGTTATAATTAAACTTAGCTCTGGCATGCTGCTTTAGGCTACTGTTTTAAATGATTTAAAATTTAGAGGATTAAAATAGAGACACTGATTTTATTATCTTCTTCCTAGCCTTGTCAGACATAGAAGAGTCGGCTTTTTTATTCTTAATTTTTTTTTCTGCTAATCAGGAAACCATTAGCCTGCTAGGACTGCTATAATATGTTCTTTTTGCATGTTATTTATTTTTTCCAATTCTTTATTCAGAGCCTTGCGTTTCAGAAACTGGGCATGGAATCTCGGCTTGTAAGTGGCACTGGTGCTTGCAAAGACACCGGTTCAGGTCCTCCTGCTCGGTCATTCTTAGCCCAGCAGCGCCACATCACCAACACCCGCCGAAACCTCTCTGTCAAGGTCCCAGCTGCAGCATCTGACTAGTCTGCAAAGCAAACATGAACAGAAGTGCCTCAAAAGGTTTTGTACCCCCAAGAAACTACCAGATGGAAAACAAAGGTTAAGATGCTTGGTAGCAGCTAGTTTTGTTTGGATTTTGTTTTGATATAGGGTCTCCTATACCCCAAACTGGCATTGAATTTACAGTGTATTCAAGGATGACCTTGAATATCTCATCAGTCCTTCCCTCACTTCCTGCATGCTGGGATTAATAGTTGTGTACCACCATATTGGGTTTATATTGTGCTGGGGATCAAAACCTGGCACATAAGTCAAACCGTCTACCAACTGAACTACATTCCCAACCTTGGTATCAAAATGTATCAAATTAACATTCAAGTTTGCTCTGAAAACAAAATACAGAATCAGCTGTGTCCCTGGGCAGCACTTTTGAGTAGTAGGAAGTGTGATAAAGCAAATATTTGTCTTGAGATGGTATCATGTATGGGGAAGTAACTGCATATTCCAGCTTTATGCTTTTGCTTGTGACAGCAAGTTAATTAGTTTGCAAAAAGTAATAGTTTATAATTTAGTATTATATCTAGATTTGCTTTATGGGAAACAGTCTCCAGTAAGGCATGTAGAAAACAACTGTGCAAGGTAATCTCTTTGGCCTGGTGTGTACAGAGCTTTCCTCTACCAGCTAGTTCTGCCCTCAGGAGGATACTTTGTCATGTTGTGGAAGCTATGATTCTCGAAAGACTTTACTGTTGGAGTGACTTTGTCCTGTAAAAGGGACTGATTGGACATTTGCAGTTTCTCTGAGTTGCATTTCAGTTGGTATTTGTACTGCTGTAAATGAAGACTTTGGAGGGCTTGACTGAAATGTTAAGGTGGGAAATAAACTAGTATTTGTAAGAGGTACCTTTCTGTTGGTGGAAAGCAAACTAGAAGGATACATGTTGAAGTATCCACATGCCTTTAAGCATGAAATTGTGGTGGCCTTTGCTTTCTAAGAAGGGGTATATATCATGTATAATTTTGCCCCATTATTGAAAAAAAATAATGATGAAACAGCTTAGGACCAGTTCTGTTTCTGCTTACCTCTAAGAAGTTTCTAGAGCTGGATTGTGGCATTTCGTTCATTTCTGCCTGGCATTACTCTTTTCAGAGATGTTACTTTCTAATTTGGGTCACTTTTTAAAGTCACAACTTTGGAATATTAGTCGTTAAATCAGTATTGCTTGATGTAGCCACAAGTGTTTCATTCTTGTGTCATTGTTAGTAGCCATGTTTCCATCATTGTTAAGAGTTCTGTTATGCAGTGTGTCAGAGTAAATCTTGTGTTTTTGGTAACTTGGAAAAACTCTTTGATCCTTAGACTACAGAAGTATGAAGTGTTGTATTCATGCAGCAAACACAAATATTGCAGCACTGTGTATACCCTGAGCGTTAGCAGGCATTCTGTGAGTGTGCGTGCTTGTGGCCTGCATGGTCCTTGTTGGATCAACTCCTCATCTCTCCCCTTACAGCATGAAAGAAGGGATGCTAATATGTAAACAAAATTGGTGTAAGCCAGATTGAGCCAGCAGGCTATAGAGCTGTGGTCTACATTTTATTCTTAGTCCTTCATAAATATGAGTATTGTTCTATTTGAAGTGTTAACTCAAGTAGATAACTGCAAATCCTTGCACAGTAATTAGTTAACCACTTAAAAATACAAGAATTTCACGGTGATTGGAGTCTTTGAGATTAGTGGCATCTGCCGGGATATTTTGTTTTATCAGGGTTTCTTCTGTTGACTACCTCTTAGATTTTGATGCTTTGTGCATTTACACTGTTGGTTTGCATTTTTGTATGTTCTTATGGTGTTTGCTTGCCTGTGTCTTTTAGTGAAATAAGCTTTGAAAATACTTCAGCATGCTATTTAAAATTTTCTAAAAATTGTAGCATTTGGGTATATTTTTGTTAATGAAGATAATGATGTTAGTGTTTGTATTTGCTTATAATTAAGATTTTACAAGTTTCGCTTTTCATGGAACTTACTGTAAAAGATAACTTCAATAAATTATTGTTTCCAGTGCAATTGCTCATAAATTTCTAAATAATTAATGTAAGGACATAAGGATAGGTTCTTTTTTTCTTAATAAAGAAAAGGCAAATTTTCCGATTTTCTAGTTTTAAGTAGAGTTTCAACTGTTTGATAACGTGTTTATATAAAACTATGTAAAGTTCTATATGATCGAGACTAATCAGAGAAGTTCAGGCAGTGATCAAGGCAAGATTCTTTCCATGCATTGTTTATGCAGTGAGACCAGCGCCCTACCAGGTATAAAACATATGAATTTCAGCTGGAACAGTAATTTTTACAAATGTGTTGCAAGGGAGAATTGAATGCACAAACATGGAATTGACAAAAATTTTATGTTCCAGTGATTATAATGTTAGAAACAATCTTGAATTTCAAGCAATTGTCCTTGGATTGATATTCCTTTTTCTTTTGGGATATAATTATGACAAATTGCTTATCTTGGGATTAACTTAATGAATTGAGAAATATTTGAAGTTTATTATATTTTTTTTCAATATTAAGACTAATGATTTAGTGTGAGTTAAAAATGTCTTGCCTAGCATCCTTTAGCTAAATATCCCTTAGTAAGATGTGGTCAGTCATTGATGACTGGATGTTTAGCACTTCACAAACACACCTACTTCTGTGTAATGGTATACATCTGGCCTTTGGCAGTGATGGTGGCAGTGATAGAGCAGGGCAGTGTCATTTTGTGTAAAAATGAATGTATATGGCGTGTTATACATACATTCTTACTATGATCCTGTTTGTTGCACAGAAATAGTTTGGACATTTGTAAAGCACAAATCATCAGAGGAAATAGTGTGGTAGTTATGAACTTGAGGAAGCTTCAGTGCAGTGTTTAGTTTATTAAAAAGGTCCTTTCTATTTTCTATGGCAAATACTGTCACACTTGAAAAATAGAAGCAATACTTGATTTATTTTTGTAAGTATTTAGAATATTATTTTAAATAAATAATTGTCAATATAATTGTGAAATGTTTTAAGTAAATAAAATTCTGCTTCTGTACCAGTTGGTTGTGGTGTTTTTAGTGGCTACAAATGCATGTTTATTTCCTGTTTTAATAAAGAACTAAGCTCACTTAGATTGGTAAGCAAAATTGCATGAATTCAATTCATTGTGTGTGAGCAAGTTGCATAAAAGTGATTTTGTGTGTCCTTTGTCCTCAGTTTCACCTCCAGAATGTAGATATCTTTTGTTAATGTGGACTCCAGAACATTTCTAGGCATATAATTTCAGGTATATTGAGGACTAATCTCAAAATCCATTCTTGGATTATCCATTTATTAATATTTTCCTTAATATAATTCCTTCAATAATAATTTATTACATTCCCTTGGGGGTTAGATCTCTCCTGTGACTAGGTGGCAGGAACATGCAAGTCCTGGCTGACTGGATGTGAATAGCACTTAGCTTGCATATGGAGAACACAAGCATGCCCTCCCTAGCCCTGTGGCCCCACAGCCTCATGTTCCCCTTTGGTACAGCTGAATAGTAAAAAAGGAACATGGATCCCAGAAAGGACATTTGAACCCATCAAATTCTAGACCAGGAGTCTCCTGTGTGAATCTATTTCATGTTTTATACTGTGTCCATCACCCTAGCCACACCTAACATGTGTTTATCATCTTGAGTTGTAAAGTGGATTTTAGAAAAACACAGCCATCCGTATTCTTGAAACCGGTCTTGGAAAAGTTTAGCTCTGTGGCTGTTGCTGATTAGTCAGTAACTGTAATAATTACATGGCTATTTAAATGTTCCAGATTTGAAAGGATAGAGACAGGACACCAAAAAACCTGCCTCACTTTAGGTGATACCCAGAAAACTTTCCAAACTATTGAAGGACATATTCTCAACTATAGAATATTTTGGTGGCCTAGCTAAAAGAAAATCATTTTGTTTTCAAATGATGCCACTAACTACACTGTTTAAGTGTAAATTTCAGTCACTTCAAGTTGTTTTGGGAGTCGTAGTTTGTAGACCAAGTTAACTAGAACTCCTGTAATCTGCCAGGCGGTGTTCGTGCATGCCTTTGATACTGGCAGTCAGGAGACAGAGGCCAGCCTGGTCTCCAGAGCGAGTGCCAAGACAGGCTCCAAAGCTACATGGAGAAACCGTGTCTCAAAAAAAACAAAAGAAAAAAACCTCCTGTGATCATGGATGATCATGGAATGGAGACTTAGAATGTTATATACCCAGAGCTGAAATTATTTTTATCTATGCTTAGTTACCTTTGTATCTGCTATCAGGTGTAAAACTTATGTGGATTAGCAAACCAGTAACTTCACCAACCCAGAAGCTAAGAATATCCTGAGATCTCAAAACACATTTCACCCCCCCCCTTTCTGCTGTCAACTCCCTCATGCCCCATCCAGTATTCTTGGTAAATACATTACTTATGACTGGCCTGTAACTGTAAAAGTACATGCAGTGACTTTCACAGTAGAATGCTCCTGAGCCTTGGCTGCAAATAAACTGTGTCTCACTGCCTTTTTAGAGAGCTATTTTTTTTGTCACACGCAAACCTGTAAAGCTCTGCTGATTTCTCTTCACCCACTTCTGCCGTGTGGAGTTGATGATTTCATGAACATCTTCAAGTTTACTGGTTCTTCCTGCCAACTGATATACACTACTAAGTCCTTGTAGTGAATTTTAAATGTATTATTTCAACTTTGAGATTCTCTGGGTTATCTGCTTTGAAAGCAGTCTCCTTGCTGTGATTTTTCCATTAAAAAAACATTATTGCTGTTACAGTGTCGACTGCTCTTTATATTTAAAAAAAAAAGCTCAAATTGTTCTAAGACTTTGGTAATTTTTCAGAATCATTGAGATGTTGACTGAGCCTGTTTTTACTAGTGTTCCTAATGCTTTTTGAAGGAGTGGACCTTGGGAGATTTTTTTTTTCTAGAAAAGAAATAGCTTTACAACTGATTTATTAAAAAGGAGCCACAGTAATTCAAAAGAAGAAATGTTGATCTTTTCAATGGCTAGTCCAAAAGTAATTGAATTTTGGCTATAAAAAGATAGATAACTTTAGGTTCTTCTTCACATCAAAGTTAGCATTACATATAATATAAACCTTTCAGAAAAAGATAGTATGTTGCCTTGGATTCGGCAAACATTTATTAAGTGAATTTTTTTAAAAAAATGTTTAAAAGAAAATGTTCCTAAAATTGTTTTCATAAAGATTTATGTCCAAAGAAAAAGCAATGAAAAGAGGCTCAGACCGGGAGGGATGTTTGTTAAAATCATGTTTAAATGTATGAGTTTATTAAATACTATACTTAAGGTATTAGTCTCTTTTTACTATTTTTAGTTTTTGAAATTATATTGTATTGTTTCTTCAGGTATAGCCCTGGACACTACAGCAGTTGACAGGAATTTTGATTATCTGAGGGAGAATGAATTCTCTCATACACAATGCTGTTCCGAACAAGTCTCTTTATACTTCTCTTTCTATTCTAATTATCTTGTCCTATTTTTCATTCCTCCTAGATTCTTCTGTTTTCTTCTCTAGCCCCAAAACTCTTTTTTACAGGAGGCTTGCGCAATAATAAATTACAGGAGTTACGTCTCACTAATCAAAAGCACATTCTTTGGGTGAATTGATAAGGGCAGAGCCCTTTACCATGGCAACAAAGAGTTTCAAGGTTTCATGAAATTGTGCATAGCTGTGAAGCCCTAAACTATATACAAAAAGCCTTTAGTTTGAATTTGCCCTGAAGTGAAAGTGAGACAATTGTGTGCAGTCAGTCTGAGCAAAAGGAACAAGCAGGCTTTTGTGGGGTTTTTGTTTGGTTTTGTTTTGTGTTTTGTGTTTTTTTTTTGTTTTGTTTTGTTTTTTCGAGGCAGGGTTTCTCTGTGACTTTGGAGCCTGGTCTGGCACTCGCTTTGTAGACCAGGCTGGCCTCGAACTCTCAGAGATCTGCCTGCCTCTGCCTCCCGAGTGCTGTGATTAAAGGCGAGTGCCACCTACGCCCGGGACAAGCAGGCTTTTAAGTGTCTATAGTCATCATGGGACAAATAGATCTAGTTATGAAGCATATCCCAGTATATTTTCTATATATCAAAATTATACAGGTAAAGGAAAAGTCATCTTCCTGACTGTCCACAGATATATGTACCCAGTAGATAAAATATTTTTATGAGATATACACAGTCAGTGGGAAATATGGAAAGTTATTCTTAGAGGAGAAATGAAGTGGCATATGAAAGAAATTAAAGATACAGGCAACTGGTTTTCAGAGTCAGTGGTCCTGTAAACCTTGCTAGACAGGATTAACCTCTATTAGAGTCTGGTGGGCTAACACCTGAATTATCAACTGCCATATGCTGTATATTCCCACAGCCTCTGACAGCTACCACTATATGTGGATAGCCAACTAGGGAGATCTGTTTCCTGGGGAAGGTCATCTTTCCCTCTCTCCGTATTCCCGGTTGCTCTCAATCTCAATTTTTGTCTAGGGTTGAGGCCCCATGAAATTGTTCCATTCCATGTTCTGTCCATTGGTTTTCGTTGTTATTGTTCAGGTCTTATTTAGGAAGCCATGAAGATGAGTCATGGATGTAGCCTCTCTGACATTTTTTGATTACAGTTACTGCTGCATGGTAGCCTTTTAAAACCAAACTCTAGTTTGACTAGAGTTTATCTGTCTACTCGATAGAGAACACATATTGTTTTATTAGTTTTGTAAGGAAAACAAACAGCCTGGAAGAAAAATATCTATAAATTTCCCAATGGCGTGAACATGTACAATTACAGGGAGGTATAAGATTACTATATTGTGCCTGAGTACTCTGGTTTTAAGACATCTGTCTTTGTTTCTTACAACTATGGCAAAGCAGGTGGGAAGTTATGCAGAAATAACAGTCCTGAAATCCCAGTGCCTAACGACAAAACATTTATTTAGGGCATTGTATGGCCATCTTGAGTAAGCTATGACTCTGTCATGCCTTTGTCACACTGGAGAGTCCAGACTGAAAGGCTATAATCTAAGACATAGCAGAGAAGAAAACATGCAAAACAGATCAGGCACTCAGAGGTAACACCTGTAACTTTTACTCGTCTTCTTGACCAAAGCCAATCTTGTGGCCATTCATGACTTTTTCAGCGCATTCTGTAAAGTAAAACACAGAGGAAGGACTTACAAAGTCACTTGCATGGGGATAGTGACTCCCTTCACCAGGCATAGACTTTGGAGTGGGTGTTATTTTGTTTTTCAGGTGGGCAGGAAAGTAAGGTAAGCTGTTTACTTCACAAGCAGAAGGTAACTGTCAAACCTGGGAATGGCCAGATAGCCAGAACCTCAGTCTAGTTTATCTGGCTCCCCATGAGACCACCTTTAGTCTTTAAATGTAGTTTGATATGCATAAGGGTGCTGTGGTGGGTTTGGTCCTGGATGCTTTCGGACAAAGAGAAGCCTCTGTTCTGAGCTTAATGGCTACAGTAAGCATCACCAGCCACTCATGTCAGCTCCTGAAGGCATGCTTTGCAGCTGGCCCTTTCTTCTTGCTCAGCTTAATGTAACTATTTCAGAAGAAGAAAAGCCCTTGATTTGCCAGAGCAGAACAAACAGCTCATGGTGGACGCACAAGAACACAGTGTGACCCAGAAAGCATCAGTATCCACCGGGACAGCTGCCAGCTTTTGAGACAAGCATAGCAGAATTCGGGGGATAGGAGTTGAAGCAGGGAGCCAGCTGGGAACTAGGTCAGAAACCGCGATGGCCACAAAGCCATCTCCACTGTTCCTGGAAGATAGTAATGACATTAAACTGGGGAGAGAAAGGGCTGGAAAAAAATGTAACACTGGCTGGTCAGTCAGCACCTGCGGTTCTAATCTGTGACTGTAATCCAGGAAACATGGCAGCTGAGTGGAGGTTCAGCAAAAAAAATTTACTGGTCCAAATGTATGAAGATTTTCTTAAAACTAAGCTCACAGGCAGGAGGATTTCAGTTAATCAGAAAAATACCAAATGCTCTCAAGAAGCATGATATATCTTCTGAGA